AATATAATCGAATTTCAAAATCCTACCAATGTTTATTAGCTGAATGAAGTATTTACTGTAGATTGGAGGAAATAATAAAAGAAGATGAATTGGATTTAGACAATCATTGGAAAGAAAAAAGTCTCACATTACCAAATTTATCAAAGATAGCATTGATTTATATTTGGTTATCAGTAGCTGGAGTAGATGTAGAGCGCAGTTTTTCTAATTACAAAAATATTTTGAGTGAAAGAAGAATGAGTCTTTCTGAAAAGTCAATTTCAATGTTTAAATTTTGTATTATAATCAAAATTAAATAAATTTTAATTTTTTTGCGAATAATTTTATATTATTTTATATTACCTAAAAAGTAAATTTCGCATAATTTCTACTAGAATTATAAACACATATTATCACATATTTCATTTCAATGTTAACACTAATACTAATACTAACACTAACATCAATACTAACATCAACACCACTAATCTCTATTGAAAAACTAATACAATGATATATTTCTGCTAAAAAGATTCGGAAAGTTTTTCAAATAGACAAAATTAAGTATTAAAAATATTTTGATAAGAATAAATAAATTATAAATATTATATTATTTATAATATTTATTTTATTTTTTTATTTTTTTAAGTCAGAGATTCATTTTTGTATGTTGTTTTTAAAAGCTTGATTCAAAATTAGCTACAAAAACTAAGACATCATTCTTCTATCAAAGATGATAAAAAAGGTATATAAAGTATTTTGTTATTTAGCCATTAGGATAATATTAATTATTATATTATAATGATAATTCAAAAAAAGAAATACTATAATTCAAGTTGGAATGGAAAGTTGGTTAATAAAAGAAAATATTAAAAAATACTTACAATATCGTCATGATTATAATAATTATAAAGAAAATAAAGAAAATAACAATGATGATGATAATAATAATAACCAACTTTCTGTTAAAAAAAAAGAAAAAAAATAGTATGAATTATATAACTAATTTCAACAAAAAAAAAATAATAATTTATTAATCAATTATTATTTATTATTATTTTTTTTTATTAAATATTTTTAGATAATGTTTCTCTTCCTCCTACTCTACTATTACCATCATTATCACATTTTCATTTAATATATAGGGCCTTTACAATAGAAAGGGGAAACTACCGAGAAAAATTAATTTTACTTTTATATGCCAAATATGATTTTTATGCTGAAATATGATCAAATTTATCATTAATTTACTTTTGATTTTTCTGGCTATTTTCCTCCTTTCTATTGCAAAGGCCTCATATAATGAAAGTTTGCGTAATTTTATTTGTTTTTTTAAAAAAAATAATAAAAAACCAAATATATAAATTTAATTTAATTTATTATTATTTTTATTTTATTTTATAATTATTATAGAAGACAATGATGACATCACCACTACCAATATTATTACTGACACTACTATCACTACAAATATTGTTATTAATACCATTACCACTATACATAAAGTCAAAATGATCGAAATGGTTGAAATCATTTTGACTATTGGAGGTGAAAAGTCAAAATAGTCAAAATGACATCATATCACATGATTTTTATATATAAAAAAATTAAAAATAACAAAAGATGTATGATCTTGATCAATATCACACTGATTCGTATGAAACAACTACTATTCGATTCTCTGATTTGATTTTTTGAACTTTTTCTCATTGGATTTTTTCCAAGAATTTTTACTTAAAAAAGTGCCTATTCAACAGCGGCTATGGCTTAACCTGCAAACAAAACAAAAAACCTACCTTTCAAAAATATTCCTCTCTTTATTCCCACATCCCTATTCACATAAAAATTTTTAAAATAGTCTAAACAGTATTGTTTTTTATTAAAATATTTTTTTCTTCATCTCTTTTTGAAATTTTTTTTTCCATTTTTCTCTTTTTCTTTTTTGTCTACTAAAAAGTGAGCATCAAGAGGGTATCCCATCTGACGATTATGATCGATATACTTCAGATAAACAAATCTCACATGATGATACTTTTCCCTTTTCTAAATAATATACTCTTTTTTGATTAGCCTTTGCCTCTTTGTAGATCCTCTCTTCTGTCATCAAAGATCACATGCAAATTTAGCGTGAATCATATTTTGATGTCTCTAGACGTTTTCTATATGGTGTGATAGTAGCTACCACTTGGTTTTGTATTTTTGTCAGCTCAAATGAGTTTTAAATGGAATAACGCAAGGCCAAGTCATAATGCTTACTTGGTGTAAGTTCATTTTATCTAGATCTATTTCTTTCTAGTAACCAGGTAGAGGGTATAGATTACTATCTGTTGATACATTGTAGGGTTTTCATAATGGATTCCATATAATATTTTTTCTATACTTATGAATCTATAAGTATGAACCTTTGTTTAGACCTCTCTTTGGACATACTTTCTTTGACCAGGTAATTGTTATATTTGGAATTAACTGGACATTTAGGTTCTTATAGAGTTGTGTTAGTCTTTTTAATAATTTCTATTTGTACCTATTTTTCTTTTTAGAAAGATTGTTAGTATGTTTAAATTTTTATATAGAAGTTAGGATTGAAGGGCATTTAAAAATTACGTTGCTGTATTGACAACTTCATTTGAATTTCTTGTTGACAGCTCGATCATTAAATATGGATTTTTTGTTAGATTGGAGGGGATTCTGGTGATCAGTCAATCTAAACAGGTTTGAGCTTTTAATAGTAACAGAATTACAGAAAATAGTCATTCATTTAGCTTTTTATCTACTTTGTAATTTTTTTTGTAATTTTTATCTAGTATACAATATAAATTTAATAAACCTATGGCAGTACTGCATCATTAAAAATAAAAATAAAAACCATTCGATTCTCTGTGACTAGACAAATCCAATGAGCTAACATTCATTAATTTCAGATCATTTAATCTCGAGATAATCGCAATTGTATTATCAGCTGAAATTATGAATCAATAAATTCTACTTTAAATAAAGGAGTTTCTGATTTTAAAATTCAATCACAAATATTTCAAGATGAGCTGATCCAAAATCAAGTTCTCATTTGAGTTCTGCTTTTTTACTTATTTACGATAATTATAACATAGATTTCACTACAACTATTCCATATTTCTGGGCCAACTCTACTAACGCTGAAATTTTTGTTTTGCTTTTAGTTTTGCTTATCTGCCCTTCAAATTCTGAGATTAACATTTGTATAGATAGTTTGACACTAATACATTTATACAACAAAATTCACAAATAAAACGTGTTTAATTATCTATCATTAATATTCAAAATACACTTTAACATTTACTGGTCATTTATTTTTAAACTCATAGAAGAACGAAATATTTTCTTAATATTGAAAAAGTAGCTACGCATTCTGATGATTCTCATAACCACAAAGTTGATCAACTTGCTAAATCCTCATTAATGTCATCACCTATACCTTTAAACTTTAATCAAACTCCTTATTTTTCCTATATTCCAACATTTAATAACAAACCTATTTTCACTACATTACGTCTATTTCTCAAAGATTATACTAACACTAAACAATTTATTGATTTCTACTATTTAAAAAGAAATAGTAAATACAGTCAACTTTAAATCAATTGGTCATTAACTTTTGATTTTATCAAGCTTAGCACTTCCACTGAAACTTCTTTCAAAGAGTTTCGGGTACACTGTAAAAGACTTAAATTTCTTTTTGAACAAATTCCCACTATAGAGTTCATGAAAGCAACTCAACCTACTATTTATAATTTATCATGGATGTGCTGTTGTTGCAACACCAATAAAGAACACTTCAATCACATATGGATTTGTCCTAAAGCGAAAAAAGAGATGAAACAAATCATCACTGCAACTCTTAATGTCCTAAAAAATTAACTCTTCATATATACTTCACAATCAGTCTACCCTCCTGACATTAATTCATTGTTATTTCCTTCACATCCTTTTTGGGCTTTAAAAGAAAATCCTTACAACATTTTTTTCATAGATTTCATCAAAGGCATTGTTTCTATTACTCTTCCTAAATTACTCGACTCCTTTATCAACTCTTTCTTTTGCATCTCTAAAATTCTTTTCCCATTTTATGATTACATTTTTGATCAATCTTATGAACTTATTTGGAAATATAGATTCGTAGCTATTATAAAAAAAGAACAATCACTTAACATTTCAAAATATAGCAAAAAATGAAATTATAGTCCTTCTAACAATTTTACTATTAACAGTTTTTCAAACTTATCGTTACCTTTACCTGAATTTAAATATGACTACTTTTCTCTTATGACTAAATCATTTGTTCATGGACAGAAATGGTCTTTCTTTCTAACACAATAATAACTATTTGTCAAACGTTTTCTCTTCTTTAGTTGGGTGGCGATGGTAATTCTACTAGTGATTGTTACCAGAGTCTGACGAGACAACCAGTTAGTCTAATTGGAGTTAGTCTACTAATAATGATTATTAGGCAGCATTTTTTATTTTTCTACATTTGTATCCTTTTCTGGAATTTCATGTTTTCTTTTTAAACTAATTATGAATTTTTATAATAAATAAATGCATTACTGCATCTTTAAAAAAAAGCTGATCCAAAATTAATAAATGTTAGTTTATTGGATTCGTCTAATTACAGGAAATCAAATGGTAATTATTTTATACGAATCAGTGCGATATTGACTAAAATTGTACGTCTTTTGTTTTTTTTGTTTTTTATATATATAAAAAATCATGTAATATGACATAATTTCGATCATTTTGACTTTTCATTTTGATTCTAACCTCTAAAGTTGACTTTTGGGTTTTCATTTAGACTTCATGTATAATCACCACCAATGTTGCTGATATCATCACCACCACAAATATTACCGACACCACCATTACTACCAATGATATTATTAACATCAAGCTTATCACTATCAAAGTTAGTGCTACCAAAGCTGCCAAGATTGTTACTGTCAAAGTTGCCGTCAATAAAGTTGCCTTCACTAAAGCTGCTACTAAAGCTGCTACCAAAGCCACCAAGGCTACTACTGTCAAAATTGCCAATGTCATTGAGAATAATCTTCTCTTATTACTTCACGTAATATATCTAAGTTCCTTAGTTGCGGTAAGTAAATTCCTTATCATCAGACTTTATAATCTTAGGGAATCTCACATCCTACAAGTATTCAGAATGCCTTGAAATTACTTCACTTAGTTTACGAACTTAAGGGTTTAGAGACTTAAGAAATTTAGAGAATTTATTTATTCTAAGTGACGAACCCAATTGTAAGTTAGTGTAGTAGTTCACGATCAAATTCTAGATGATGAACACGTAGAAGAAAAAAGCATTTTTGTTTTAAAGTTGATTCCTTTATTTATTACTTGAAACTCATGAGTATTTTAGAACTTACAAGAGAGTTAATTTACAATATAAGCAAAAAGCTATTCTATTTATACAAAATTAATTTGCTACATCTAACTAATTGCTACGCTATAAACTAACTAAATTTGTAATTGCAAGTGTTAATATAATAATGATAATGATTATAAGAAGAATAATAATTATAAAGGTAATAATAAGTATAATAAAAATAATAAAATAAGAAGAATAACGATAATTAAAATAATGAAAATACAGGAAATTAGGAAAATCTAACGAATTATGATAATCTGAAGAATCCTACGAATCTCCAGAATCCTGTGGATCCTAAGAATCATCAAAATCTAGAATTATGTAGATCTTCTAATTTGTGATCAACATAAAATTAATTCCAGTAACTTCTATAGATCATTTAATAATTCTTTATAGATCAACTTTTCAATAATGAATTTTTAGCTGGTAACACTACTAATGAAGTTGCCTTTACCAAAGCTGCTACCATTAAAGCTAATATCACTAATGTAAAATAAATAATTTTTATATTTATTTCTAATATTACATTGTGAAATAATATATGGGTTAGTACGTACAAAAATCATGCTGCAGAACTATATAAATCATATGATCAAAACCTGATTTTTGTACTTACTAATTCATATATAATGTAATAATATAACGATAATATAATAATAATTTAGGAAATCAAGAAATATGAAAATTTATTGCAAGATTCGGGTAAATATTTATTTTATCTTTAATTTTTATTTTATTTTATTTTAATAAAAAATTATATTTATTTAATAAATGTGTAAAATTGCAACCAAAATTACATACAAATCTGATTAAAAATAACGTATTTAATATTATGATTAAACATATAAAATTTAACCAAAAATAACATACAATATACTGATTAGTCGCAAAAAAATTATATAAAATAATGTATACAATATACTGAATAGATGTATAAAATTTAACCAAAAATAACGTATACATTGTACTGATTAAAAGTATAAAATCTAACCAAAAATAACATATCAATATACTGATTAAACGCAAAAAATATCTATGTAAAATAACATATACAATATACTGATTAGACGTATAAATTCAGTATTTTTCTGCATACAGAAAAAGTCGATTTTCAGTATCTAGTATATGAAAATATTATACTGTTTTTCTATGTTTATTATATGTTTTTTAAACGTATTATTTCTGTATACTTTCCTTATACAGATTATTTATAGGGGCGAGCTTTGTCTTTCTACTGAATATGTTAATGCTAACATTCCAATGCGATGGTGATATGCAAACAGTTATGAGTGGATTACATCTCTTAACAATATCAAGAATAGTAAGACATAATGCCCGTATTGTGTAAATAAGACCAGTCATACAATTGAAAATGCTAAGCAAGTTGCTTTTAGTAAGAATGGAGAATGCCTTTCCAAAACATATGATAATAGTTTTTCACCTTTATCTGATGTTGTTCTGAATGGTATGAGTGGAATGCATTTTTTAACAATGTGAAAAATAATAAGACGTGGTATCTATATTACGCAAATAATAGGCCTTGCACACTTGAGGATGCTAAACAATTGGCTTATAATAGAAAATGAGCTTGTCTTTCTAAATATTATATTAATAATTGTTCAGCTTTATTATAGATGTGTGATAAAAAGCATAGATGGTTTGCTACTTTTGATAACATTAAACATTTAAACTCGTGGTACCCATTCTACCCGAAATATAAAGGAGAAAAGTATGTCAACAAAATATCTTGACCTTCCTTCACTAATCTGCAAACCTAATTTTCTCAAAACACCAGAATGTCCCACAGGATTAGAACTTGATATTTATTATCTGAAATATGGCTTTGCAATCGAAGTACAAGGCGTATAATATGAAAAATATATCAAATTCTTCCATAATGGCGATCTCAATAACTTTTATCAAACAGCAAGTGCAGGATTAATGCAAGAAAGAACTATGTGAAGAAAACTGTATTACCCTAAGGTATGTTTGGTATTATGAAGACCTATATATAGTTATTCCTGAACATCTTCGAGAATTGGGTCTCATTGAATAAACTCGAAACTTTAAATGCTCCATAATCATTCCACATGAACTTTTTATATGGTATTTTTTCATAATGTTTTAGCAATAATATCATTTATTCCGATACATCATTAAAAACTAAAGCCCAAGATGTACCAATTACTTTATTAATATTCTAAAAATTAACTACCACTTGCAAAAAAAAGGACAAAACACAAGAATACAGATAAATCTAAAAACGTTCATACTAAAATGAACAGTTTCTATAGCAGTCTTGTGTCTTACTCACAATCCAATTGAATTTAGGTGTGCTAAGAGTATCACGTTTATACATTGCCTTTGCTGATAGTATACTCGGGTTACAAATCTTATCATATAAAGTATCAAAAGATTTTTTAAAAATCTCTTGTACGTTCAAAAGCATTTCTATTTGATCAACAAAGATTAGCATTTCTTTCATTGATGACGGAACTAGAACTTGGCCAACGTAAAATAAATAAATACCATTGATAAAATCAATTATATAAAAGTCAAGTGTATGGTCTATACAATGGAATGCCAAAAAGTGATTATAGGGAATTTCGTGAATAAAAGAAACACTTTATATTAACTTACCAATATATTATAAAACTAATTATATTAAGATCAGCATCTTTATCAATTGTGCAATCTATGGAGTCTTTCATGAAGATGCCAAGATGAATCAAATCACAGCAATTTTTATAAACATTATTTTTTTGTGAGGGAGAACTAACCTCACCTACGGAAATAGATGCAACCATTTGAAATTGATGAACAATCGAGATCACAAAATCTGGTTGCTTAGCTCGTCCCTTGAACTTCCTTGACTTGTTTTCATTAAAAGCTATATTTGGCCATTAGACGATATGTTTGTCTGGATCATGGAATGTACCCTTCATTATATAGTTCAAATTATTCGTAATGAACGTTATTTCACTGAATCCATTTTTAATCTTATTACTGGGTAAAATTTCCAGGCCTTTCAAGACTACAGATCCCAAGTTTTCATCCAAAATTCGATTGTTTGAAAGTTCTGCTAGAAGCAAATTTATGGCTTTGTAATGTGATTCTTTAGTCGCCTGCTTAATCACTTTTCTAAATTTTGCCTCGCACTCTGAATTTAGTTCTATTTGTCGTGTTGGAGCAATTTGTTGGTGCATTTCATTGAGTAAAGGAAATCCAAATATATCAATCATCATATTTGAATGAGAACCTGGAGCAAGCAAAAAGATTGAAGAAAGTGACAAGATTTCGTGTACGTTTGATTCAATGAATAGACTTTCATTTTTTGCTATCTTTATTAACGTATTTTGATACTGTCGAAATAACTGTGACATATTAATATCTTCTATCTTATACTCGTTTTTCAGATATCTATCCTCAAAGCATAGGTCTCCAACATCATCAATTGCTATGACGTCATTATTATCATCTTTCTCATCTATATCCTCAATGAATGTCTATTGACAATGAATATAATTTCGAACTGCATGGTGATGGTGTGGTGGGTCTATCTTGTTATAGCCTCTTTATTATACTTTCTTTATTATAGTCGATATCTCATCTTTTTCTTAAAACATAGTTACTTTTATTCGATACTGACTTGTCATAGCAAAGGAATTCATAAAGGAATTCATAAAGGTTAATAAGCTCTAAACATATAAGACTTGACACAAATCGAGAATAAATAAAAAAAATTGATCTTATCTTTTCAAAAAAATTCTGATTTTGACGTTTCCTCATCAGTTTGCAAGTCATGACCACACTTCTTAAGACTCTTGTCAATAAATATATTCTGAATTACATTCATCTGATGTGAGGCATTTTTGGTTGCCTGAACCTGTTGCTCTGCCTAATTGAAAGGAAAGATATCAATTAGCATTTCTGTCAAATGAAAAACCAATTTCCATACCAAAAACTCTAACATAAGCAACGGGTCTTTGTGCAAATTAGACCAACAAATACCTCAACTAGGTCAACCTCCTTCTCCAAAAACTGTGTGCTTTTTTCAATTTTTTCAAACCCAACCTTATTCCAGAATAACTTTACATCCTCCCACTGGGCTTGCTGTAAGGGAATATTAAAGGAAGAAAAAATAGAGAGAAGAAAATATTATAAAAGAAAATGTGAAAAATATTAAAAGTGGGTCATCAGGGGTTGCGAATGAACAAGTTGCTCTTGGCACTAAGACGTATTGCCTTTAGCCTTCACGCAAACCTAAGATGGAACCTACCAGAGATAGCCCCCGTAACTAACCTGACGTATTACCAAGTCACTTAGGTGGTTGTTTCGACAGCGCCCAACTCCTTCTCTATCTCCTCGCCACTTTTCCCTTATTGATTTTTTTTTTTCGATACCAAACTAAAACAACAGGCAAAAGACATTTCCTTAGATACATTAAAGGCAGAAGCAACTTTCCCCCACTTTTCTTCCTGTACAGTATGAAGCAAATTTTGATATAAGAGTATGCTCGACCGACTTGTTAAATAAGAAGTCATTTTTTGTTTGACGAAATTTCAGAATGGAGATAAGATTGAAGTTTTCGGGGTTCAAGGCTGTTTCCCATCCTTCAAAACTCTTAAGACAATAGACATGGTGTAACTTAGAGAAAAAATATGAAATTGATTATCGCGAGAAGCATGGTAATGATTACTTTCATCAGAATCACTTACATCATTATTTCCTTCATTTTCACTATTATCACTAATTACTAATGCTAAATTTTTTTTTTTTGTAATTTTTAAAGGTCCTTTATAAATCTGAAGATTCTCATAAATATAAACTAATTTTTTAACACATATATTTTGTAATCTATTACGAATTTTATTATGAATGAAACCAAAAGTGGAAAATTTTCTATCTGCAGCTGCAGATGATGTAGGAATTGAAAGAATTTTAATAGCTAATTGTTGAAGTAGACTTGATTGCTACCTATAGATGAATTAAGAGAATTCCAAATAAATTTATTATCATAATAAAAGTGTTTACCACGAAAATTAACCAATTCAATAAATAAATTTACAGATTCTTCTTTACTAAATTTTTCACTTGTATATTTTGTAAATTCTGCATAACCTGTAGATTTAATTCCATTATTACTTTCTTCTAAAATTGTGGATCTAACATATAAGCTACAAATATAGCTGGATGATATGTATATTTCTATTGCTTTATAACAAGTTCTTTGAGTTTATCAGAAAATTTACAATCTATTTGATTCATTTGATTCATTAATTTTTTAAAATTTGAATAAACTGTTGATAAAGTTGAAGTATCTGATTCAAATAACTTTAATATTACAATAATTAGTTCCATAATTTTTATTACTATATTTAATTCTTCCCAAAATCTATCTGATAATATATAATTTCTCAAAGTAAAATCCATTTTTTCATGAATAATTAAATCCATTAATGCTTATTCAAGTGCTGTTTTTGATTTTTGAAGTGATTGAATATAAGCAAGATGTGTACTCTATCATGTAAGTGCTGGTAAAACCAATGCAATTTCTTTATTATAAATTTCTCTTTGAATACGCTTTAATTTAGCTGCTGCTTATATATATGCCTTAAAATAATTAACTAATTTTTTTGAATTTTCAATACCAAATTTGATTTGATCAAATTTTAAAATATCACTAATTAAAAGATTAATTACATGAGAATTACATCCAAGAAAAATAATATTTGGATGATTTTCTTCAATAATTTGCTAAGCTGCTTTCATTATATTTATAATATCTGTAATTATTGCTGAAAATTTATTAATATCAATAATATTCATTTGTTGTATAATTTGATTTGCAATCTATTCAGCTGTATAACTTTCTTTATTAGAATAAATTGCAAATGATAAAATTTTGAACTGATTCTCTATTTATATAGACCAATCATCTGAAACCATTATAAGTGATTTAGCTTTTGAAATTTGATTATCACATTCAGCTTTAACTTCATTAAAAACTTCATCAAATAATTCATCAGCAAGTTTTCTTTGATTAGGTAATTTAAATGCAAGACGCAATTAAAAAAATTGAATAACATAATCATTTTTAAATGGAACTTTAGCTGCAAATAATACTTAAGCTAATAATATTTCAAGATTATTTTGTTGTTCTTTACTCATATGATCAATATAATTATCAATTTTTGTAGTTTTTAATCATTTAATTTGGGTATTTACAATAGAAATAGGAGTAGAAGTAGTTAGTAATTGAGTAGAATTAGAAGATTTCAAAGTTAGTTTGGATTTTATTTTTGCATTATTTGAAACACCAAGACAAATATTATTAAAGTGAGTTTGTATTCTACTAGGAATATCATGATCAAAAGTTTTAGAGCAATAATTACATCAAAGGATGTATTATATTATTATTTTCATTAATAATTATTTAATACTTTTAAACCACTGCTTTTCTTTTTACCATAATGTGAGAAAATAATGTAAAAAAAATTAATAAAAAGATCCATGTGAAATCAACAAATAAATAAGAATTTTTATTTCTAACTATATTAATTATGGCCGATTATAAATTATATTATATAAAATAAAGCTTGAATTTGATTGGTTAATCAGAAATAATGGTTAATTAACTAAATCTAGGGATGTTAAACGATCCTAAACAGTCCTAAAAGTCTCAATAAATTTGCCAGTTCTAGAGAAGATTTTATTTTACTAGCATTATATTTTAGTTTCTAATGATAATTTATTAATTGAATATAAATTAAAAATATATATTAAACTTATGCGAGAACTCAAAATCTTAATATTTGAAACTTAGAAACCATTCCTAAGGATTGAGTCCCACCTTGGTTAATTATTGATTCCAAAATTCATATTTCTTTATAAGTTATTCATAAAATTTATTATTACAATTATTTATCAAGGGATATTTATTATAAATAAGCGATTAGATTTTTCTATAACTCATAATTTCAATATTTGTTTACAGTCATTTGGGACTATTAATATCCCTAACTAAATCTAATTAATGTTAATTAACATAAATAATGGTTAATTAACCATGATTAATTAATCCCTATCCCTAAGCATAATAGACATTTAATTTCTTGCGATTTTATTGGTTGAAATATTTTTTGAAATATTACATAAAAATTGATTTTGATTGATACAAAATTGATTGGCATATAATTTACTAAAAAAGAAAACCTAATTTTTTTACTTGTAAAAAAAATAAAATTATTGGCTTCTTTTTTTAAAAAAATTCTTTAATTAATTAAAATAAAAGTATCTATTAAATAAATTTATATTTTATGATAGTCATTAGTAAATAGATATTAATAATAGTCTATTTAAAGTTAAGGATTATAATAAAAATGATCCAAATATTGTTTAATTTAAGCTATAAAACTAATATATATCAAAATTAATATAACTAATAATTTAAATGTTTAGATAAAAAAGTAAGTGTAATATTAATATGTGAACTAGCTTTTCATCACAAATGTAATGTTTTGCAGAACAAAATAATAAGTATAATTATTATTTTGAATTATATAAAAAGGGTGTTATCTTTAATGTAAGCTCCTATATAAAAATATTTAGAAAGAAATGATAATATTAATAATAGTTTATTAGATGATAAAATATTAGATAATGAAATAAAGAAGAAAAAGAAGAAGAAGAAGAAAATGAAGTAATAGAAGAAAAAATATTAGTAGATTTTAAAAATACTTTAGAATTTATAAAAATATATTTTAATATTCATATATTAATTAATAATACCTTAAACTTTAGCTTTCATTTAAGTTTCACTATGACAGAAATCTTTTTTTATCTAAATATAAAGAAAAAAACAAATGACATATTAATAAAAAATCTGCATATTGATAAATTAGTTTTTGAAAAAATATTGCATCTTTTTTTGTTACTTTAAATCAATTGACATCTAATGTTATATAATATAAAAGATCAACATTTGATTTTATCACCTCATGATATAACGAATGTCCATTATGCTATCTTGAAGTCAATGATATTCTATTTATAGTATGTGACTCGATGTAAATACTCTACTTCAAATCACAAGATGATTGGCTATTCAGATTTCAGATTTTCTACAGAATTTGGGAAAATGATTACAAATAAAATCTACATAATATTTTTCTGATGGTAGTGTCTGAACACATTGTCTGAGCCCATCAAAATTGCGTAAAAGAAATGACGCAGTATCTTCGAAAAGGATTTTGAGATAATCTAACCGTTTTGATGAATTATTTTCTGTGATATTTGGCAAAAAAGTACATTTATATTATATTTAGCAGTGATTATTAACGTATGTAGATATACAGTTAAATAAATCCTGATACATAAATACTTTATTAATATATGTTTGAAAATACACATAAATGAATTTCTGTTTTTTCTGGTGGTAAAATCTAGACAATATACTGATAGTAATTAATAGTTACCTCTGCAAATGTGTGTTTATTGTATTTGATCTTAATAGGCTGGAGGACAATTTTCTTGTAATTCGCTTAAGATTTGATACACCATTAAACCTGCAGAAAGAGATAGAAGTGAGGCAGAAGCACAAGAAAAAAATACTCAAGCTAATTCATATAAAGCGCTTCTCAGCTAATTTCCTTCAAAAATGATAATTAAAGATGATGCAGCAATTGATTTCAAATTTACAAAATATTGCAACATAAGTTAAAATTAGTTGTAACATAGGTTGTAACATTATAAGTTACAATATATATAGGTGCAAGTGTGATGATGATACTTGTGAGATAGAACCTCCATTTTCTTCATATGATAGTGATAGTATTTGATATCTTCTTACAATATTTTATTCATAGAGCCAATCATAGTCAGTGAAATAAAATATTAGGGATTAGTATGTCTTCTCATAAATATTTCTTTTTCTGATCAACTAATCTTTACCTGGTTTTTTCCAAAATTATTCCTTGAATTCCTCATAATACTTGAGACTATTCTTAGTCTTTTTTTCATTGACTTTATTATTGATATATGCTTTCATATACTAAATAGAAAGATAAATTAGTCTACATCAGGTGCTATATATAGCTAAGGTTTCAAAGATTTTAGAAGGATTTCTACATACTTTATAATCATGTTTGAAATTCTCAAACTTTTCTCTACAATGCACACCAATATAAGATATTCCAAACTGAAGGTTGATCTTTGTAGAGACTTTTTTCCAGAAAATTCTCTTTCCATTCCTAGCTTGTTCATAAAACATTTTGTTATTTTCTTTGCGGTTGTTAATCAAAACTCAAAGTTACTCATTGGTCTACATAGCTAAAAACTTTCTTATTTTCTCAAGTATGTAAAAAAAATCTCTTAAAACCAAGCTATTATTATATATCTTTCTTAATCACATATTTGCAATTATGTAAGGATAAAGATTAGTAGATAAAGTCATTTTATATCAAATAACTCTAATATAGTGGTTTTACTAGAATCCTGAAAAATACATATAGAGGTCAGAGAAGATCAGCAAAATTTTGGCCTA